GTCTGGCATTAATCTGGGAAAATATTTCTTCTGTTCCTTCCTCCTTTCTCCTTATAGCATCTCATTAGTGTTTATGTTAATTCATTTGTAGTTGTCCCACAGTTCTTGGATGTTGTTTCTTTTTTCTTTTTCTTTTTTTCAGTTTCTTTTTCTCTTTGCTTTTCTGTTTTAGCAGCTTCTGTTGACAACTCTCAAGTCGGCAGATACTTCATCTGTGTCTAGTTTATTAATGAGGCCATCAAAGGCATTCTTACATTTGGGTTGTAGGTTTTTGATTTCCAGCATTTATTATACTTTTTTCTTCCAATTTTTCCATATTTACATTACTCATCTTTTCTTGCATGATGTATACTTCTTCCTCCCCGTAAGAGCCCTGTGCATCTTAATTATTTGTTTTACATTTCTGCTCTGACAATCCAACATCCCTATCATTTCTGAGTCTGGTTCTGAGGCTTGTTAAGTCTCTACAAACTGTGGAGTTTTGCTACTTAGTATACATTATTATTTATTCATTTATTTTTTAGTGGTGGGCATGCTATACTGAATGAAAGGAATTCTGGTATGTAGGGCTTTAGTGATATGGTGATCAGATGTCAGAAAGAGTTTTCTAGTCCTATGATGAGCTCTCCATCTTTTGGGAGCCTCTGCCTGGGCTGTAAATTTCAATAGTGCTTCTCAGGTTTCTTCTCTCTGCCAGGCAGGACAAGAGGGCCAAAGGGGGCTGGAGTTGACTATTTTTCTTCACCTCTGGAAGGCTCAAGAAAATTGAAGCTGGGAATTCCCCTCCCTCAGGTTACTGAGACTCTAATCAAATGCCAGGTGGCTAGACTAAGGGCAGGTCTTATTAAAAGGAGTAGCAGCATCTGGTGTTTTTCAAAATGGTCACTTCTGCCTGCCAGAAAGAAGCACAGGGGATTTGTCTCCATCTTCACTATGAGACCTACTAGGGCTCCTGGAGGTAAAACTCACAGAAGTGTGAGGGCCCCCATGGATGTCCCCCCCTGGAGTTTTTAACCCTCCTACATGTCCTCTCAGAGCCTCGAGCAGTTCATCAATCCCAGCTTCCTCCCCAGTGCTGGCTCCTGCGCTTCCACTCAGGTATGTTGTCATTTTGTGTCCACCTGACTCTTTCCACTTTCAGTGGCAGCAATTTGCCCTGTGACCACGATTCTCTAATAGAACAGCTGTCGATTTTCCAGTTTGTTCAGTTTATTAGCATTCCTTCCAAGCTCTTTTGCATGCCGGAGAACAGACGCCTTTTCCTTTGTCTAAAATGATAAAGATATTTTTTGGTCCAGCGTGGAATTTAGTGAAAATGTCTATTTCCTAGTTACTGATGGTTATATTCCTTTCCCGTCTTGATCTTTTTTGGCTAGAATTATTTCTTCCCCAAATACTCCTTAGTTGTTAACAATTTAATTCTTCTCTTTGGGGACTTTCATCAACTCCACTGTCTTTCTCAGAGTGCTAATCACAGGTGCTGCCCATGTTTTGTGTTTGCTAGTTTGTCAACGTTTAAACAAAGACGTGCTGTTTAAGTGATCTGTTGCTCCTGATGTCTTGCCTGCTGGTCTCTTTGTGAGTTACAGCTGCACTTTATTCTGATGGTATCAGGAAAACAGCTTACAGAGAACATTGGTCAGTAAGTGACAACTCCGAGCTGCATTTACAGATTTAGTTCTCCCTACACTTGTTACCCACGTTGAAATTTACCTATGTTTTGTATATTTTATGGTCCATTCATATTACTTTTATAATTACTTTTTTTTTTTTTTTACAATCATTGGCTGTATTCTGTTTAATTGGTCTTGGTAGATTCTGGCATTCTATGGTTCTGAAAGTTCCCCAAATGTTTCTTCTGTGCAACCAAAGTTGAAACCTGTCTTTTACAAGGGCTAGCAAACTTTTTTTGTGTGTGTGTGTGAAGGGTCAGACAATAATTGTGTTAGGCTTTGAAGATAAGCAAGTGAGCACAGTGGTGTTTCAATAAACCTTCATTTCTAGATACATTAAATTATATGAATTCAAATTTCAGTATCAGAAAATATTATTTGTATGTTTTTTCAATTACTTAAAAATGTGAAACCATTCTTGCTGGTGTACAAAAACAGATTGGAAGTGGAATTTGGCAGGTGGGCAATAGTTTTTATGTGCTGGTTTATAGTTTATCTGCTTTCTTGCTTCAATTTGGTTCCATAAGATAAAATGATTCCTTCCATGGTCACTGATAACATTTAAAAAAAATTCTTTTTAGTTGTAGGTGGATATAATATCTTTATTTTTATTTATTTATTTATATGTGGTGCTGAGGATTGAACCCAGGACCTCATGAGTGCAAGGCAAGCACTCTACCACTGAGCTATAATCTCAGCCCAGTGACTGATAACATTTAAGTCCTACCGTTGATTCCTTATGGTAAATAAATCTTATCAGGACATTTTAAAACATGTCAATGCATGTCCCTGGTAGTTGTAGATGTTGTAGTATCTGGAATGCTTTTCTCTATATGTAGCAAGCCTGGCTCAAATGGCTTAAAACAGTATGAAATTTTCATTAAAATACAGACAGTTGCGTGGTTAATGCAACTGCTCTACAGTGTTATCATTGCACATGCTTTTTGTCTTTATATTGTATTATTTTCATTACCAGTTATGACTGATACTTCTCGTGTTGCAAAATGACTATAGTAGCCCCAGGCATCACATGCAGACACTCAACATTCAGCAAAAAGGAAGAGGATGTTCTTCTATGTGTTTATTTTTAATAGTAAAGAAAACTTTTCTAGAAAAATCCTCCTCCTTTGAATATCTTCCCTTAGGTCCCAAGTCCATATTGGTCCCAGTTGAAGAGTTTGAAATCATATTAACAATCATGCCGCACCCCTGATGTTTGGACAGACCTACCCTGTCTTAGGTAGAAAATTTTAGAATCCTATAACCAAGTCAGGGTTCTAAAAGCAAGGAAGAAGAAGAAATGGCAATTGAGAATCAATAATCTCACACAGAACTAGATTCTTAGATAGAAAATAAAATCTAGCCAGGTGAAGTGGTGCATGCTTGGGAGGTTGAGACAAGAGGATCACAAGTTCAAAGCCAGCCTCAGCAATTTAGGAAGGCTCTGAGCAAGACCCTATCTCAAAATAAAAATAATTTTAAAAAAGACTGGGGTTGTGGCTCAGTGGTTGAACGCCTCTGGGTTTAATCTCCAGTCCCAAAACAAAATAAACAGACAAACAAAACCTAAAGGCTGTGTCTGAGCTTCTCATTTCCATTTGTTTATTTCCCTTAAAGAACGTAGAGAATTGTTCAGTACAATTTCCCTAAAAGAAATTTTATTGATTTTTTTTTCACTAAATAGGTTATATTTTGCTCAAAGATACAATTATTTCTATCAGATTACACTTAAAAAGAAATATATCCCATTTTTGCTTACTTTGTTGTTTTCCTAAGTTTATAAATGTTGCATATCTAGCCTAAAAAAGTTCATGTGAAAAAGTTAGAAACCACTATTTTTTTCATCATCTGAAATCATCAGTGTTGTCTAGTATGCATTTTATATTGTAAAAACAAATATCGTGTTAAAAAATTGTGGTATTAAATAAGAATTATACATGACATCCCTAGCCTCCCTTCCCTGCCACCTCTCTGGGTTGTTGCTTTTGTTGTTGAAGTGCTAGGCATTAAACCTAGGGCCTTACACATGCTGTGCAAGTGCTTTACCACTGAGCCACATCCCTAGCCACTTTAATAAAATTTTTGAGACAAGTCCCTACTAAGTTGCTGAATTTGGGATCCTCCCGCCTCAGCCTCCTGAGTAGCTGGAATCTCGGGTGTGCCCAATGACTATCATGATTATTTTGATACATTGTCTCAAGTGGTAATACCCACCTCAACCTCCCCATGTGAAAATCACTGAGGGAGATTTCTATCAATTCCAAGCTCATCTGACCCTGCCAGGAGGAAAGCCTGACCCCCACCACCAGTATGGCTGAAATTCCACCTGCTTGATGTTCTTGAGGGAAACAAACATCAAGCACAGTGGCAACTGCTTCTGCTTAGGACAGACAGGTCAGGCTTCTGCTCCTTGATCTGCCTTTTAACATTGTGCGATGTTACACACTCATACTGGTGTGTATAAAGCCAGAGTTTGAATAATGTGGTTTGTAAGGTCTCTGTTTTTCTTTACCATGTGACCCCAAATTTTGACCTTTATTTTCAATGTTAAACTAATCTATAGTGTTGCTGCTGCTTAGTGAAGGCTGCAAATATAGTGGTGCTCTATACTAAGATAATGATAAGAAGTCATGTAAGATAATGTGCTGGAGCAGCAACTGTCTAAGCTGCCAGAGCACTTTCAGACAGCCCACAGTGTTCTAGTGTGAGACCTTCCTGAGTGAGTAAGCCAAATCCTTCGCCCATTCTAAGAAGCTAATCAGAAGAGTCATACTACAAAGGAGATAACTTTAGAGAGCTTTATTTTATTTTAACTAAAATATTTGTAAACGTCTGTACTTTCATTGCTAATATTGAAATATATTTCATTATTTACAACACTACCCCCACAGCTCTAGAGATGTCTTTTACTCCTTTTAGAACCCTCTATGCATCCTGAAACATTCACACAGAAGTGAAACCATGAGATCCTGAAAAACTGATGCAGGATAAAAAGGTGTATTTGGTGGCAAAAGCAGTTTTCCTTGGCTGGTCCAGTATTCTTTTTTCTTGCCTTTCAGAGCTGCTTCCTATGCTCACTAGTAATTGGAACTCCTCCCCCCACTTCCATCCCAGGGGCGGGTGTTCTGCATTTTGTGGGGAGCCCGGTCATCTTTAGTCATCTGGGGGAACTTTTCCCTAAGGAACTTGAACGCAGGTTAACTGATGGACTCTTATCAAGCTTGCCCCTTAGCCTAAGGAGTGAGACTATGAACCGCAGCTTCTTGGGTCTGACTGCCCTTCCCTCTGGGTCCTCTACTTTTGCTCATCCAGTCCAGGTGACCCTTCTTAACACCGAAGGTCCGTGTCCAGGGCCTCTTCCCCAGGAGGATTCCTGGTGGCCTCTTCGTAGGAGGGCGGCAAGCACACGGAGAGGAGGGTCCCTCCTGGACGCAGGGGCGAGTAGGGAATCTCCTGCTCGCTGCCCCAGGGCAAGCCGGGCAGGAAGTCGGGGCCGGCTCCCGCAGGAGGGCGCTCGGGGAGGTCGATACTGAACACCTGGCCCTGGGCCCGCGGGGCCTGGCAGCGGCGGTACAGGAACAGCAGCAGAAAGGCCAGGAAGAGCAGGACGGTGGCGGGGAGAAGGATGCACAGGAAGGGCTCCACGTCGGCTTGGGCGGAGCTGGCCTTCTGGGTGCCCTGGAGGTAGGGAAGGAAACTGGGTCAGCAGATGGGGGAGGGCAGGCTCTGGCCCTGACACCCCTTTTAAGGTCTTCTCCTGTTAATGTCGCTGCATAGTCTCAAAATCACTACAGTCATTCATTGAGCTTGATCCCATGTGAAATATAAAGCAAATTTACAAGAGAAGGTGTGAACTCAGAATGTCAAGCGCTGCGTACCCGTGACGGCATACAGTGTTTCCACCAAAGAAAAAATAACTAGAATAAAATTTAGTTGGCAAATCTCCTACTCCTTCTTTGAATGGGAACTACTTACCATTTCTGTACTCATTTTATTTAGAATTAGACCAATGTTTTATTGCCACAAAAGGATCACATGAAACTTAAAAATTTTTGATTCTGAAACAAAATGTCATGTGGTTATATGATCCTCCCACAAATAATGTTTGAATTCTCGTTTGATGGTGGCACTTATGAATGAGATTGTTAAATCCTTTAAATTTGATGTTGTAATATTTACGAGGTAGATTCAGAAAGCTTTGAAATTTTAAGGAAAAAGAATTACAGGTGATTCTTAGGCAACCTAAAAGGTATTTGTTTTGTAGTATTAGTTCACAAAGTAACAGTGGTTCTTCATGGAGTAATAATATAGGCATGAATTGATGCTTCAATTACAGGGTAGGAAAGCAATGTGGAAAAAAATCGTTCTAATTGTGTTTTTTGTTTGTTTTGTTTTGTTTTTTTGTTTCTTGGCATCAGGGATTGAATCCAGGTGCACTTAACTACCGAGCCATAATCCCCAGCCATTTAAAAAATATTTTATTTTGAGACAGGTCTCATTAAGTTGCTTAGGGCCTCACCAAATTGCTGAGGCTGGCTTTGAACTTGTAATCCTCCTGCCTCAGCCTCCTGAGCCACTGGGATTACAGGCATGTGCCACAGTACCTGGCTTATGTATTGCTTTGACAACATTAATTCAGCATTAAGAAATAATGAAGTTTTAAAAAGTTTTTCTATTATATGAAGCATATAGTAACAAATGTAGATGTTAATATTCACTACTATAAAGAAAAGGAAATCAGTTTAAAGGCCCATAATTGTATTTAAAATAAGAAAACAAAATATTAAGCTCTTTATCTTCTTATTCTAAATAATATATAATAATGTGTATAAGAGCTGGGATTCTTTTGTCTTGATTTTGGTGGAAAAGACAAATGTTTTGCTGGTCACAACTCCTTAAGGAAATGATTTATCTACCTAAGTATGATCTTTTTTAAATTCCTATAGACTTTACAACTATGTTGTTTTCGCTCAAAATTAGATGCTTTAAAAAATGTATTCTGCCAGATATTTTGTTCTTGGTGAGATATGAGTTAAGGTATTCTAGCTTAAAAACAACATCAAAATTAAAGGTTTTCCTGAGAAGCAGAGCATCTGTGATCTTTGGGGTTTGGCAGCTCTGGCTTTGAATTCTGAAGACTTTCTGACACCTCTGTGACATGGAGGTCACCTGTCAACTCTGGGCTTGGGTTTTCCTCTTTATTAAATGAAAATAATAACATCTGTTTTTTAGGATTAGATGAGAATTCAGTGAATTAATGCATGTAAAATGCCTCGTAAATAACATGTATTTTTATGTCCATGTCTCAGTGACTCAAATTTTCAGATTTCTAAAAGTAAAATACTAAATCGGAAGAAATCTAGAAATGTTTTGATAAGACTAGAATATTGGAGTGAGTATAAAATCTGACATTACTAAATTTATATTTTAGTAAATATATTTTCAAAAATATTTTGTGATATATTTTATGTGTGTAATTAAGTTATATTTCTAGACTAGAGTTTTTTACTGTTTTTCCACAAGTTTAGTTTAATATCAGAATAATTTACTTAAAATCTATTGTGACATAATAAGGGACTTTGATTAGAAAAGCATAAGAGTAGATAAAACTAAAAACAAATTTATTATAATAAAAAATTAAATTGAAGTCAAGAGATAAAATAATTTATTTTCTCCCTCTGGATGAATCATTAACTCTGTTAAAACCATTCCCTTTTAAAGCAATAGCTCTTCAAATCCAGTAAACAATAGATTATTTTCACAATTTATTTTTTTCCTTTATATCAATAATACAGGTAATAATAGCTTCTTATCAGTATTGCCATCAAATTTAAAATTCCCTAAGTTCAATATGCATAGATCATTAAGCTACTTAATATTCTATTTAAAAGGATTTATGTACAAGTAGACTCTGTTATTTACAATTGTACTACTATGGTATGATCAATATTAGTTGAAAAAAATTGGGGAAGAAGAAATACCACAGAGCCTGCTAAACCATACTTCCATTGGTTGAGTTAAATTTGTCCAAATACCAAGTCTTTTTATCTAATACAGACAACTGGGACAATTTCTTGAGAAAAAGAACTCTTCTTTTTTCCTGGTAAAGAAATTTCACAGAGCTATAGAACACATTTATTTTAGTATACTTCATTTGTTTATTTAATTATTCCTCATATTAGTTAAAATGGCTGGAATTTTTTAAATTCAGAAGTGATATCTTTTCTAGTCAAATGTTCTAATGTGTTCACTAGCCTCAAAGTTGTTTTTTAAGTTTTAATGTTTTTCTGATGTGTGTATTACTCAAGGGCTTTATCATTCAGGCAATATTTTAGAGAAATATTCAATAAAAGGTGTAACTGCTAAAGGACTTTTTTTTTCTGTAAAAGTTGGTTTTGGCAATTTTAAATACCAATCTTACAAGTTGATTTTCTAGAAAACAAGAGAATAGGTTTATTTTCCTCTTTTTGTGTGATCAGCAGGGTCACCCATTTCTCCTCTGGTTATAAAAGTTCTTTGATTTTAGTTGCTATGAATATTTTTCTTTAATGCTGCCTTACAAGGAGGCTCCTTTGGTGATCTGGCCCACAAGTCAGAATAGCTGGTGCATTTCTTAGTGACTAACTTCCTTAACCCCCTGCTCGCCTTCCTGCAGAAAGATGCTTGGTTTCTGCAAACTCTTAAAAACGGGGATTGTTCTCTAGTCAAAAATGAAAGGAAGCCTCTTATTTCTGTATATAGACATTGCTTACTGAGCAAAGAACATAGTTATAATTGAAGGCATAAAAACTTGTCAAAAACCCCTACCCTCAGGAGCTCTGACATATTTGATGTATCAAATAGTGTTAGACACATTTGTGCCAAGTTTTACTTATCATTGTTAAAAAAAAAAAAAGACAACTTTCAAGTTACTGCCTTCAGACCATGCCAGTCAGCAAACTCATATTTTTTTTATTATATCCATAATGCAAAGTGTTGCCACTAAGTTATAAGAACCTAAAAAATATAGGCATTGTTAATTTAGAAACTATCCAAGAAGCTTTGGGAGAAGAGGCTGAAGCCATAGGTTACAGACCTGCAGCTGGGTTTCCAGAAGAGGCAGGCTTGGTTCGCTGGTTAGCCACTCGTATGTCCCCCGGCCAGCGTGTCCAAACTTCCTCCAGCTGCTGCTCAGCAATCCCCTCATGGTGTCACCCAGCTGATGACCCGGTCTCCTTTCCACCCTGCTGCTTGGATTTCTACAGTGCTGCTTGCTCTTGGCCTGGATCCAGGATAGATGTGTGCGGCCGATGGCTTTTGGTAAACTCGTCTTCTGATGAGTGGCAACAGGGAAAAGAAACCAACCAGAGATACCTTTCAGGACTGACTGCATTTATATTCAGTGCCTCTGGGTTTGTGTTTGTGGCCTTTATCACTAGAAGGTTTGGCATCAAATATCAGCTATGGAATAGATTCCAGGTGGGAGAGTTTTCTACATTAGCATTATTACAGTGCAAACAAAGTCGCGGAGAATACAGAGCTGCTATATTTAGATGTAATTAAGACCCTTTCCCTTCCCTTACCAAACCCCTCTCTGGGGACATCTGATCAAGAAAAGCTACCTAGGCTGAATTCTCTTTAATTATTTCTGGGTTTTATAGTACAAAATGAAGGGGTACTTGGTAGAGAAGCAAAGACCCATTAATAATATTTTACTGAATTATTTAGATGAAAGTTGCCTAATGATAAAGTTGTACACAAGCCAGACGGACAATAGCTTAGACTGTTAGATGGAAAGTTTGCTGATTTCAATTTTTTTAAATCAAATTACCAGTACCCTAAACAGTCTCCCTACGGATTTTCTTGTGAACTTTATACTATTATTGCTATCACACCTAAAAGCTTTGATTTGAACTTGATTTGCATGTTCACTGAATTAACTTGGGGATATTCAACATATGTGTTATTTAACATTTAAGACAATGTGTTAGTTCATTTTGTGCTACTAGAGTGGAATACCCAAGATGGGTAATTTATAAATAATAGAATTTCCTTTTTCACCATCTGGGAACTAGAGGAAAGCTGAGTGAAGCCTCTTTCAGGAGGGCCTAAATTGTAATAGGGAGAATCCCCTAGGGTTTCACTATCTCCTAAAGGCCACACCTCTTAAGATTATCATGTTGGCAACACCTACATTTTGAAGGGGATGCATTCAAATCATAGCAGACATAATGCTGAAATCCTTCTTTAGTGAAGTAAACCTCAGCTTCAAAGATTTACTCAAAGTGTTAGAACTCAAAGTTGCAGCTACACACATCCTCATTAAGCACCATTTCCACCCAAGTGATTGCCATAATGCTGAAATGAAATTTCTTAACTGGGATCCCCTTTCTTCTTCTCTCACCCAAGACTATCATCTACTGTCCAATAGTGGATGATCTCAGGGGGTGGTCAATGCTAAATTTTGTAGATAGGCACAAATTTCTCAAGAGTATATATAGTGTTCATACCTTTTCAAAGACATTTGATAGAATTTGATGATTTGTCCAACTTGTTTGTGGTAAAAGTTTTTGCTAGGTTTCCAATGATAAGTATGCCCCAATCAGTATCCCAGCATAGAATCCCTTTTCATTTCATCTTTTCTTACTTTTGGTGGAGTGAGCTGGTTTTGTGATTTCAGTTCAAATATTGCCTTTCTTTGATGTGTTTCTTTTTAGTAAATCCTGAATTCTCACCTCTGAGACCACACAAATACCTGGCAATCACTACAATATTTTGCTTTCTTCCATGCCAATAGCTTTCCAATACTGTGGACTCGACATGGACCATCCTTCTCTACTTTATCTACTTATTGAGATACCCTCATTCCTTGAGAAGGAAATTGGAAGTCTGGATTAAAAGCATTAACTATGCATCTGTAACATTGATCTTCCTCCTGCAGAGAACAATTCAGACATGTTTCCTGCTTTTGTGGATCTATTTGTTTGCCAAGAGAAGCAAACAAAATATATATCAGAAGATGATAAATATGTGAAGAAAAAGCAGAGAAGGGGCAGAGACAAGGCTGAAGGGAGGGGACACTGTGAAAGTGGGCAGTTAATTAGGATCTCACAGGGGAAGTAGTATTTGAGCAAAGAGGGAGGAAGGTACTTAACCACGAAGCTACTGCATGGAAAGTCATCACGCACCAAGGGGAATGCCGGTGAGGGGCCCAAGGCAGGCACATGCCTGGTGACTTCACTCAGTGACCAGCAGCCCAGGGTGGCTGGAGCAGTGAGCTTGGAGAAATGGAGGAGATGAGGTCAGAGAGGATATAAGGAGGGAGGGAAGGCAGCAAAGGGTTCTGAGTTTATAGAGCTTTATAAGTATTTTGGCTTTTACTCTAAGTGAAACGGAGGAGCCATATAAAATTTTGAGCAGAGTGACAAGATCTAGCGACTATTTTAAAAGGACCACACAGGTCTCGGTTTTATGAATAAGATCAAAGGCAAAAGCAGATCAGATAGGAGGTTTTCTTTTTGTTTAGTTTTAGTTTTAATATTCAAAGGAGAAATAATGGACAGGAGGAAGAGCTTTGGAGTAGAGATTCTGGATTCTAGCTATATTTTAGGGGGTATAGACAATAGGATTTCTTAAAGAACTGAAGATGGTGCAAGGTAAGAAAGATTTAGAAGGATTCCAAGGGTTTTGGTTTGAGCAACTAGGATGACTACTGTCATTTACAGAGAGAATTGAGGGTAGGGTAGGGTTTTGCTTTTAAGGCAGGAAGAGTAAAGATCAGGATTTGAGTTCTGAAGGGAGGAAGTTTGCGTTGTGTTTGAGTTGAAAGGAAAGCACTAAAGAGGAGACACTAACTGGAACTCATTGTCCAGGAGATGGTATTTAAACCTGAGAGACATAACGAGGTCCTCAAGGGAATAAATGTCAACGGGATGAGGAGACAGTGAATTGGCAGTGAGCGTGCACTGGAAGCCAAGTGAAGACGATGTTTCCAGAGGAGGGAATGATTGTCTACCTCAGAAGTCAACATATGGTCATGTAAGACGATGAATGAAATTTAATGTTGATTTTAACAAAATGTGTTGGGGTGGAGATCACGGGTTATTTGGACAAGAGCAGTTTTGAAGGAATGATTGGGAACAAACTGATTGGAATGGTTTAAGAGAAAAAGAGAGGAGAAGAATTGGAGATAGTGAAAATAAACAACTCTTGAATTAATCTGCTTAAAAGGGCAGCAGAGAAATAGTGCAGTAGCTGGACAGAGAAATAGTCAGCAGAGTTACTATACACACACACACACACACACACATAAAATTTTGTAGATAGACACAATACCTTTATTTTATTTATTTTTATGTGGTGCTGAGGATCAAACCCAGTACCTCACCTGTGTGAGGTGAGTGCTGTACCACTGAGCCACAACTCCGGCCCATATATTTCTTTCTTTCTTTTTTTTTTTTTGTGGTGCTGGGAATCAAACCCAGGGCCATGTCCATGCTAGACAAGCACTCCACCACTGAGCCACACGCCAGCCCTCAAAAGGGTTTTATTCTCAGATCAAGTTAATAGACTATAGGGAAAACCCTCAGCAATTCCACTTCTAGAAATTCTTCCTAATGAAATAATCTGCTGAGTACTGAAAGATGGAATCTGAGTGTTTAAAGACTGAATCTTCAAGGAATGGAGGATGTATATTGTTGTAAGATTGTTTAAAGATATTTTAAAAGTCCATAATAATAAACAACTAAAAATTTTTAAAATGTCCATAAAATGATAAGATAGATATAAACATGTTCATAACATATCAGGCACTTGCCAGAAAACTACAAAAATGTTCATGTCTCTGCATATAGAAAAAAAAAAGTCAGTGTTGACTGGGAGTGTAGCTTGGTTGTGGAGTATGTGCTTAGCATGTGTGAGGCTCTGGGTTCAATCCCCAAGACTGCAAAAAACAAAACAAAACAAAACAAAAAAAAACACGAAAGAAAACAAAGAGCCAATGTTAACAATGTTGTTTTTCCTAAGGTAGAATTATAGGTCGATTTTAAAAAATAGGAGTATGATTCTCTTTGCTGATCCACAGCTTGTAATTTTTCCATGACTATGCTAATATAAATAAGACAGAATAATTTCACGATGTACCATCCTTGAAGGTCCACATAAAGCCACGATGGGGTAACATTCTATAATTTCTTGTTTTGTACCTGAATTAGAATCAATCATTATTTCCTCTGCATTCTCATAATGTGCTGATTAATCTAATATTATTGCACTTATTTGAGTCAGCTTTGTATTATTTCAAAAGTAAACTACAGCCAGGCACAGTGGTATACATCTATATATAATCCCAGTGACTCAGGAGGCTGAGGCAGGAGGATTGCAAGTTTGAGGCCAGCCTGGGCAAATTGGTCAGACCCTCAACAATTTAGCAAGACCCTGTCTCAAAATAAAGGGCTGGAGACATAGTTCAGTGGTAAAGGGTCCCTGGGTTTGCTCCTAATATCAAAAATAAAAATAAATTACAGGATTATTCATTTAGAGAGGGGCTTACTGAGGAGTTGCCTCAATGGTCTCTGCTATCAATTGCAACTTGGTGAAACATTCTTGGCCTACAGAGCCAGCCAATAATCTAGATTTATTATAACCTCTTATAGATATGGTATTGTATTTCAACTCTAAAATATGTGTGGATTTTAATTATCAAAGTCTTTCTGAATTTATCTCCAAAGCATGTGCTTATTATTTTTTTCACATTAAAAGGAAGAATATATTCTATTTCCATCAGCTTTTCTAATGGTCTCACATTCTTTTATTCTGAATTTTTATAGTTTGATATTAATTATAAACTCTGACTATGATTAATCAAAAATTATGTGAAATACCTCTAAAACTTCTATAGGAGTTTCAGAATAAAATTTCTTACATTTTCAATTTAATTATTTTACTTCTCTCTTTTTTGAAATTAGTTGAAGTCTTCATTCATTTGGCGATTTTTTAAAAAAAATTCTTTGAACTCAACACAGATGATTTGCTATTAGAATTTCAAGAACTGATATTTCCAGATTTTCTGGTTTTATTGGTTGTGGATGAGTTGGGTAGGGGAGTTTGTTATATTACACATTTTATTTTCTGGCTCAGTAATAGAGAAAAAGCCTTAAACTAATGGTCAGAGAAGATCCAAATGAACCGAAGATAACTATAAAATGA